CAAGGTATAATGAGAATGAGGAAAACATATTCGATAATAGAAGTTTTCAATTGCCAAATGAAGTGGCAACTTGACTTAAAGGCATTTACATTTTTTATGCTTTGAATCGAGTTTAGGAAAAGCCGTACTATAAAGAGGGATTCTAGTACAGTTGGTCAACTGTGCAACCAGATGCTCAAAACTATAGATCTACATCCTTTTACCCAGCCAAAGCAGCCAGCAAAAAATCTCCAGATTCTACCTGTTTTGGCTAGGACGGCAGTGCCGCCCATAAACGACCGTTGGGACCCAAGAGGTATAAATACCATTTGGGTCGGCCCACAACGGACATCCTTCTTCTCCAATGGTTCAGTTCGAAACTGAATAGACCAAAGCTCACCTCTCTCTCCTCCATTGTTGCTCCTTTATCCCTTATGCTAATCCTTGATTCTAACCATCAAAACTTGAGAGAAAAGGCAGCAAAACTCGATTGGAGAGCAGATCCACTGATTCCCAAAGTCTAAGAGCATTTGGTTCACGTTTGGTCGGCGGTTCTAGGGTTTGTTACTCTTGAAGCTTGCTCCTAGCCGGCTAGACGTCGCCCTTGTGCTTGCCAACTTGTGTGGCAGCCTTGGGAGGTTTGTAACCTCATCATGCAGCTAAGAAATTACCCCTCACTTTAAGAGTTCATTCTCTTGATTTGAGAACGAGGGCAAGGCAAGCCTTCGTGGCGAGCCAATCCTTTTGTGGATGCCTCAACAACGTGGACTTAGGCAAGCCTTGGTGGCGAGCTGAACCACGGGATAAATGTTGTGTCTCACGTGCTTCACTTTGTATTCTTGCTGGTTCAGCTCTTTGCTAGCTGATTGTTAGGGTTTGGTAGCTCGATCCTCTCTTGTGTGAGATTTCTGTGGTATCCAGTCTTCGAACTGGATTTTGTCTTTCTGTTGCAGGATTGAGCAGCTGAGAGGGTCAGGTTACTATTTGTGAAATATCAACGCTGTCTGCTTTATTTTTGAAGAGCGATAGTGCCGCCCTATAAGGCCGGCAGTGCCGCCCTCTGTTCTAACAGAGTTTTGAGTTGAATTTTTACGGGCCTATTCACCCCCCTTCTAGGCCTCCTAGGCGACATCAAGGTTCTTTCAAAAACTAAACATGACTCCAAAGAGAATATAGAAAGGTTTAAAACACGACTTGTGGCGAAAGGTTTTACGCAAAGAGAAGGCATAGATTACAATGAGACATTTTCTCCAGTCTCATGTAAGGATTCTTTTAGAATCATAATGGCGCTTGTAGCACATTATGATTTAGAATTACACCAGATGGATGTAAAGATGACGTTCCTAAACGAGGATCTGGAGAAAAATATTTACATGGCACAACCGAAAGGTTTTGTTGTGGAAGTAAAAGAACGTATGGGATGCCGCCTGAAGAAATCCATTTATGGATTAAAACAAGCTTCAAGACAGTGGCATTTGAAGTTTGATAGTACAATAAGAAAGTTTGGGTTTCAAGAAAACGTAGAGGACAATTGCGTTTATGCAAAGTTCAAGAATGAGAAATATATTTTCCTAGTCTTGTATGTGGATGACATCTTGCTCGCTAGCAGTGATGTTAATCTACTACTAGAAACAAAGAAGTTATTGTCCTCGAAGTTTGATATGAAGGATCTCGGTGAAGCTATGTTTGTCCAAGGAATAGAGATTCACCGAGATAGAGAAAAGAGGGTTTTAGGATTATCATAAAAGGCATACTTAGAAAAAGTTCTAAGGAAAGACAGTATGTAAAATTGTAAGTCTTCACCTACTCCCATAGTTAAGGGCGATAGATATGGAGAATTTCAAAATTCTATAAACCAATATGAGATCGATCAAATAAAAGCGGTTCCATATAGTTCAGCTGTCAGAAGTTTATAGTATGCTCAAGTGTGTACTCGTCCTGACTTAGCATTTGTTACCGAGATACTTGGCAGGTATCAGAGTAATCCAGGAATAGAACACTGGAAATTAGTAAAGAAAGTTTTGCGTTACCTGCAAGATACGAGGGGTCTCATGCTAACGTACAAAAGATCTGATTCCCTGCATATAGAGGGGTATACAGATTCTGATTATGCCGGAGATGATAGAAAATCCATGTCAGGATACATATTCACTCTCGCAGGAGGAGCTATATCATGGAAAAGCTCAAAGCAAACCGTCACTACAACGTCCACAATGTATGCCGAGTTTGTAGCATGTTATGAGGCCACAGGGCAGGTGAATTGGCTGAAGAAATTCATGCCCGAGTTGAAAGTGGTAGACGACATACATAAGCCACTCAAGTTATACTGCAATAATAATCCAGCAGTATGTTATGCTCACAACAATAAGTCAAGTGGTGCTGCCAAACACATTGACATAAAATATTACGTTGTGAAAGACAAAGTCCGGGATCATATACTTAGTCTTAAGCATATAAGAACAGAAAAGATGCTCGCGGATCCACTTACAAAAGGCTTACCACCCAGCGTGCTCAGAGAACACTTAGCCGGCATGGGTTTAAGAGAAAGGCTATGATTGCTGGACAATAAGGGCCTAGTTGAGAATTTGTTTCAAAACAAAGAAGTGCATTGTAGCTATTTAATATAATGGCAACAGACCATGACGATGAGGCACGCTCTATGCACTGATCTGTGATGGAATGGGAATAAGATAAAGTAAGTAAGTTAAATTTAAGTCATAAGGTGAGATCAAGGGGGAGAATGTTAGATTGATCTCCACCAATTGGCCCAACAGCCGGCCAATTGGGTCCTTAGATCCGCGCCCTGATCGGGGGCGCCCAACCGCTCCATGGTTGGTGGGCCTCCGTCGCACAGCACCATAAAAAGGGAGGTAGGGGTCGGGGCACAAGGCACGAGGTTCACCTGAGCCGCCAGACACATCACCTATATCATAACCCTAGCCGATCTAGAGAGGGGGCGCTGCCAGCGACGGAAAGCTCCGCCACCGGCCACCGCCGCCTCTGCACCGCCGCCACCGCGATAGCACCTTCACCACTGGACTTCACCGCGCCACCGACAAGCAACCACATGGCCAGCTCGTCTTCTATGAAGGCGGCCGATGGTTTGCACCTCCGCACCCTCTCTCTCTCCCTCTATTTCTAAATCCCGTACTACTTCATGTTCTAGGACTCGCTATTTATCCTAAATATCAGTATACAGCCTGTTCGGTTGGCTGGTTCGTATCGTTGCTGGTTCGTGAAGAAGTACTGCTGGCTAGTTTGTGTGAGAGAAAAATACTGTTCCGGCTGGAAATTTACGATCGTTTACGACAAGTCACAGCTAAACGAACAGGCTGATAGATGCCAGATCTATGGCTAAATGATCCTGTAACAATCTATCACCATACGCCATCACGGTATAAGGAGCCCGAGCCATCATGCGTGGAGTGTTAAAAAATCATGCGTGGCGTCTGCTGCCACCATCATCGCTGCAGAATTTCTCCTCTCATTTTGAAACGCTTCTCATCCTGCACCGACTCCAGTGCGCTGTCCCCAGCACCTAACACCATCAAGCTCCCATGATCCTCGGCTCCTGGCAACAGCAGCAGCAGCAGCAGGGCTTCATCGAAGAGCAACTCAACAAGAACAAGTGGAGCACGAGTCCTGAGGAATGCCGATGAATGCAGCAACCGGCAGCGGGGAACTGCCTGAAGCTCTGAAGTCTGAACCCAGCAGACCAGATGGAGTAGGTAGTATGACCATCAGCTGCACTACTGCAGCATAGGTGACTCAAACAATTCCGGTCCGAATGCTCACCGCTTAAGTTTTTTTTTTTAAACACCGGAGGCGTTTTTGAAACACCGCATGAACATGAACACCAACACGAGTAAACATTAAGCACTGCACAATTAACCAGAGCCGAGAGAGAGAGGTAGTCTAAAACTAAAAGTCTAGTTGTTTCCTCTTGCTGAGATAGTCTAGTTGTCCAACGCTATGCACAAACCCACCACAAACGCAGCGGGGAAACCACCGATTGTCGACCCAAAAAGGATAAAAGAAAGACGCCGGTTACGACATCCTCGCCACCCAGATATACAAAATGGAATCGAGGCTATATATATATAGCACGGCGCCGCTATAATTAACTCGAAAAAGAGAAGTTTTTTTTTCCAGTTTTCCCCCTGAATCTAACCCTTTTTTTAATGTTTTTTCTTTGGCTTCCCTCAACCCAGCGCGACCATGTCCAAGAGCGCGTGGCTGTTGACACGCTCCCTCGTCTCCCGTCACTGTCGCCGACCCTTCTTCCTCTGCCTCCGCCACCACCGCACTTCGGCCTGGCAACGCAGGCTGCAGTCGGGCGGTCAATCGGAGTCGCTGTCCATGCTCTCCATCCCCTTGAGGCCCCGGTTCTTCTGTTGCTGAACAAAGACAGATCCAAAATAAAAAAGTGAGACACATCAGCAGACGAGGACGATGACTACGACAGGGCCTCATTAGTGAAGTCAACTAATGATGGGTTTCGCGTCAAGGGCCTGTTTAAATTCAGGATGTAAAAGTTTTAGGGTGTCGCATCGAGTGTCATACATGGATGTTCGGATCTAATAAAAACTAAATTATCGAATCCATCAATTAATTTACGAGAGACGAATTTATTAGTTTTAATTAATCCATCATTAGCACATGTATTACTATAGCACCACATTGTCAAATCATGAACTAATTAGGCTTAAAAGATTCGTCTCGCAAATTAGTCGTAAACTATATAATTAGTTATTTTTAACCCATATTTAATACTAAAATACGTGTGTCAAAATTCAATGGAACAGATAGTAAATTTAAGAGTAAACTCTATAGAAGGAACTAAACAAGCGCTGAGCTACGTGTGCGAATCGACCCTGGTAGTACAAGTACTACTCCACACGTCTCCCACTTGCTACTACAGATTACAGAAGCATTAGAAGCGGCTGGCTCCCCAAGTCAAAGCAAAAGGCAGGAGCCGTCCCTGTCCCTCGCCGGGGGTATTCGGGATGCCGTGTGGGCTATTATTCCATTTCCAGACCCCATATCCACCCTATCCTCCTCTGCGTCTTATCACGGGGTCCCACCACCCACGTAGTATGCCCCTGCTGCTGACTCGTATCCAATTCCTGCCAGCGTGCCCAGAGGGCCCCACACGTCAGGAACAAGAACTCCTCTAGCCAACGCGCGCTCCATCCACTACTTGGAGACAGACAGTAGTAGTAGCTAAGACGCTGGCATGTGGGCCCCCGTGCCATGGCTGTATGGGAGATCCAGCCTTGGAGACCGGGCTGTCGCGCAGGCGCAGGTGCCCCTGCAGTGCGCGTCCGTCGGCCTCGGCAATAAAGCCAGCGCGCGATGTGGATTAAAGCGCGGCCATCAATGAGCAGAGAGGGAGAGGCAACGCAACTCACGGCTCACGGGAGGTGGGCCCCACGTGACATAAGAAGGGGACAGGAGAAAAAGGGTACGCACACCCATTTTCCCTCCCCTCCCCTCTTTCGGCCTGTGGTTCGTCCCCGAGCCACCCCCTCTTTTATTACTTTTTCCAAACCATCTCTAATAACTAACTGATCTGTCGGCCCAATCTCAAATTAACGGCGGTGCAAATAACACGAGGGTGAACCGGATCCGACTAACCGGCCGAGAGCATTTCCGACGCGACGACGAAGATAAAGGAAAAAAAACATTGAGAGAGAGAGATGGATGTACTATGGTGGGTACCTTCTTCGGGCACTTCTTCTCGCGCACCTCGTACCTGCTCCTGGTCACATCCGTCAGCCACATCCCGGGGCAGATCGCCTGCGCAAGACAAGACAGGCACGAGATCAGGTCAGCTTAACACTAATCCATTGATTTACAAGTCTCGACATAACTTAAGCAGCGCTAATGGAGAAGAGAGAGAGAGACGGGAAAAAAAAAGGCACGCACATTGATGGTCTTCTCGACGTTCTTGGGCCGCCGCTTGGGGCGCTGCGGTAGCTTGGTGCCCTTCATGGCCATGAAGTCATCCTCCTTCTCCTTCCGGGACAGCGTGGTGTAGATCCGCGGCACCTCCAGCTTCGGCGCCGGCTTCGTCGACGCCGCCGCCGCTGCGCCGGCCTGCTGGTGCTGATGGCCACTGCCGCTGCCGCTGCCCCCCTGGTTGTGGTTGTACTGCTGCTGCGGCTTCGGGTCCGGGACGCCCAGGCCCATCACGGAGCCCGGGCCCACCTTGTGCGGCGACACCGCACGCTGCTTCTCGGCCCTTGCCGCCGCCGAGAACCTCCCCGCGGCACCAGCACCACGGTCCTCCGCCGATCTGGTCATCATCGTCGCCGTAGCATTAGAACCCGGCAACCAAACCAACAAACTAACCGACTAGTAATCCGGACCGCGATCGGCTGGCCCAGCACGGTGGTTGGGATTAAAGCGGCGGCGGGGCTCCGGTTCGGTAACAGCGACCAGGGAATGGTGGGGTTCGGATGCGGCGCGGAGAGCAAAGCTGGGCGCCGGCAACAAAAGCTGCTGCCGCTGCGGATGCCCACAGAAAAAATAAAATGTGGACGGGCGGCGCGGAGCGTTGGATGCGCGCAGGATTTATACACGGCTCGCATCAGGTCCTACTATATTAGCCCTTCGCCTCGCCTGCCTAGTGCTCGCTTGCTGTGATGATGCACTGTGTTGTTCACTATTCACACAAGCGGACAAGCCAAACGCTGCTGGAAAACGGCAGGGAACTGGGAAGGAAGGAGGCCCGGCCGGCCATTAATGGACCTCGGCAAGCTAGGGGAAGGGGATGACCGGACGACAGATGGCTTGGGGGATTAGATGGACGGATGGTGGATTTGCTGGCTGCCACTGCACCAGGTTAGTGAAGACCAAGGGTGAAGTGCCGCTCCTTTGACCCACGCCATACGTTGGCTGAAAAGATCTAAAACATCACTTCACTGCAAAAAGATTTGGTTTTTGAACCGGAGACAGGGGAAATCTGTGAAGGACGGCAGATCTGAAAAAGGCAGGGGGCAGGAATCATCGATAAGTTTGGTGATCCGATTCAAATCAAAACCCCCTCAACCCTCGTCATATAAAAAAAATTAAATCGGAACCGCACATTATTAAATCATAAAATCGAAATCTAAAACTAGCATGGGAAAACACGCCAAAACCCACTAGATTTTTAAATAAACAAACGAAAAGAAAGGAAACAAAAAAAAACTGTGTGGCGAGAAGGAATGGGATGGTATGGACGTATGGTACTCCTCGTATATATCGTATCATCCGAACGCACCTTCCGTGCCTAGAGAGTGGAGACGGAGGGCAGCGTGACAGCTCACCCGGACAAGACGAACCGGCGCGATCGAACCAGGGGGCCGAGCCCGACGCCACCACGTACGAGCACGACCGCGATGGCACGGGCCAGAGAATACGGCTCGGTGGCCGGGGTAAAAGCGGAAGAGAAAAAACGGGGAGCGCAGCGCAAGAAAACGAAGTGAAAGGCGCCTACAGGTAGAGGAGGGGCGGGCGTGGGAGTAAAGACGGCGGCGGCCATACCTGGAGGGGTGGGGGCGGGGGTGGTGCGCGTCGCTGGCGCCGCCAGAGGAACCGGAGCCGGAGCGCGAGCGCGGATGGAGAGGAGAGGCGGAGCGGAGGTTGGACGCGCGGGTGTAGGGCGCCGCGCTCGGGGGCGGCATCAGCTTGTCCGCCGCCGGGGACGACGAGCGGCGCTGGATCTTGCCGCCGCCCGCCTGCCCGCGCTGCGGCGACGCGGACGCGGAGTCGCGGCGGCACCGCATGCGCTTGTTCTGTCCCCACTGGAGCAGCAGTTCGCCGGCTCCGGTGGAGCGAGGCGAGGCGGGGTCGGAGTGGTCGGAGGAGGGGTGCTGGCCGTTGCCGTTGCCGTTGCCGTGGCCGTGGTCACGCGCGGGGCTCTTGGTCACCACGGCGACGGCGGCGGTGGTGGGCGCCGAGGTAGGCGCGGCCTGCGCCGGCGGCGCGCGAGCGCGCGGCTTGGGCTCGAGCGACGTCGTGGCCAGGAACGCCGCGAGGCGGGAGCTGTCGGTGGCGACGGCCGGCGGCGCCACGTCATCCTTGCTCGATCTGGGGGCCAGCGGCGCCGGCGCCGGCGCAGGCGTTGCAGGCTTCTTGCTCGCGCCGCTGCTGCCGGTGCCGGTGCCGGTGCCGATGCCATTGGGCAGCGGGAGGCCGTCTGAGCTCGGCCTCGGGTATCTGCAGCGGAATCAATCAAACGGAATTCGAGTCAGCGACTGGATCGAGCAAGAGTAAGGTCCGGCACTTGGAGCAATGGATGAAAGGAAGTGCAAAATCTCGTCTCCCTGGGTGAATTCGGAACCGCAAAAATCAGAACGCTCGCAAACCGCACGACTCAAACGCTAAACGAGCGGTTCAGAGATCTGTGCAGAGAAATAATATAATCACCCCAGAAAGCCGAGCGGATAATTCAGAACGAAAACCTGCAATATATGAGAACCGAACCGAGACCAGCGAAGAACCAGAACAGATTGGCGAGACACAAGCTGCGAGACGCGAGAACAAGTTGCCCGCAGATCAAACCGCGCCTCGAAGAGAAGGCGGGCGGCGGCACAGAGCAGAGAAGGACTGCGAACACGGCACGAAAGGGAGAAACTTCTCAAATCAGCCCGGTAGGAGCCGGAACGCCGCACCAACAAACACCGATGGCGGAAACGAGAACGCAAATTCGCGGCTTCGATCCCAGGAAACACACACCGTACGTACGAGAACACCAGGAAACGCCGAACACATCGCTGCAGCGGCAGCGGCAGGCGAACGGGATTGGGGGTGGATTCGCGTACCTCATCATGTCCAATGCCGACGCGGGCTTCGACGGGCTCGAAGAGGCCACGTCTCGAGCAACCGCGACGGCGTCCGCGGAGCCGCGCATCGAATCGGCGTCCTCTACTCCTCCGCCGGTGCTGGTTCTACAATCGCCGGTGCACTCCTTCCTCTCTCCAGGCTCGGCGTCTCGCCCTACAGATCAACCATCTCGGCCGACCAAGCCGACGAGAGATCGCAGGGAACGAAGGTTCTTGCGAAATCTGACGGCGAGGACAGAACAGAGAGGAGCGGAGAGCCGGAGAGCGCACAGCAATGGCGAGGAGGTCAGGAGGAGCAGAGCCTGAAGAAGGGCCGAGGCTTTATCGTTTCCACTCTACCGGCAATGCCCTCCACTCTCCGCACCTATTCTCGCCTCTGCCACCTCTACTCCCGCACAGGAGTGCACCTGCGAGGCAGTGGCACGCCTGTGGTAATCGCCAACGCTGATGGGCATTTCCGTAATCCCAATGCAGTGGCATAGTGTGTGATTTAACTCGAAGTTTCATGGTGGATTTGCATAAGCGCTCACGTTCATCTCCTGCAACTGCAAGCAAGCGTTGAGATACATACGCCCACCATGGTCCATATGAAAGCAGTAGCAGTAGCAGTAGCAAGCACCACGTCGCTTCAGGACTGACAGGTGGGCCAATGCCACTTCATCCATCCCCGCAGTCTAGATAAGCCAAACTGCAGGCCTTGTTTAGCTGACGACAGTGTGATCTGATCAGTGCAGAAGTGGACGGCGATTACTGCTCCAAACTTTGGCAACAACTGGGCACTGTCCGCTCCGGGCTACCTAACCAGACCGTGACTCACTGACGTGTGGGGTCGGACGCATCTTGGCTTGGGGGAAGAGGAAAGGATGTTGACCACGGGATTCTTGACGGACGGGTGGGATTCGATGGCGATGGCGTGGGCCCCCAGCCACCACATCAGACCGTGCGGGTCATGTGAGGTTACGACGGGCAGAGCGCGTGACGGTTGCCCACCGGGTTACTTAAAAACCCTGGCTGGTATTTTTAGACTCATCAGGAGATCACACCATCAGTACAGGGTTTAGCAGCATTAAAGAGATGATTATCTTTCCAGCTCACAAAGGGGAAAACTAGATGACTATGCTTACTGGATTATGGCCCCGTTTGCTTCGCTGAAAAAACAAACCGAAACACTGTTCCGGTTGATTTGTGGTGAGAGAAAAACACTGTTTCGACTGAAAAAACAAGCTGAAAAAGGCGGATTATAAAAGAAGCGAATAGGGCCTATGGATACTGTAACTGAGTTTGGACATTTCTATCATGTAGATTTTAACTTTACATGGCAAAGCACAGTGCCGTTTGGTTTCCGTATAGACAATCCAAATTTTCTTTTGTCGATCGCTTCTTTACACGTTGATTTTATTGTCATGTACTCAAGGAAACGCCCACGAAGAGTGTACAACAAACAATCGTATAATAAAAAAAATGATGATTACGTTATGGATCTAGTGTAACTAAAAGGAACATGTCATGGATTACACCTTTAGATGATGAGTCATGCATAACTAGTTTCGTGTAGCCAGTCCAAATTATCTTTGCAGATTGCTTCTTTCTATGTTGCTTTGTATTGCCATATGCAAAAGAGAAAAGGTTCTTTCAAAGCAAGGAAACCATATATGGAAACGGATGTCCGCTATTTGCATTGCTATTCTCCTAAGCATGCACCATTCTAGTGTTCATATCGGAGTAAAAAAATGTAGGTCGAAAAACTAACAATTCTATTTCCATTTAGGAAGGTGGTTGAGAAAAGATATATATTAGAGAAATCATCGTCTCTCTTATTTGAGAAATAAATAAATCATCCACTAGAGATATGCTACACCAAAATTAACCCAAGAACATTAAGTTTCGAATGGTCGTATGAATGCTATTAATATTGTGGTCATAGAGTAAATGGACGCTAGTTGATATGAGCCAATAGTCCAAAGTCACTTTATTGATGACAGTTTTACTTCCTTAGACAATACCTCTTCTAGAAGCTACATGTTTGGTGCAATATGGGTCATGTTTTTTTCACATATTAGTTTGGTGGTATGACATATCCTCTTTTGTCTCATGCTCTTGATATAAAAGAGATATGCCTTTTTCATAAGTAAGAATATAATTTTGGAATAGTATCAACATTGAGAAATGTCTCCCCAATATATTTGTTTAAAGGTTACTATGGTATATCACAAAAGGCATTATAATAAAAAAATACCAAGTAACCCCACCATTCATCTGAGAAAACTATAAGCAAGAAAATATATGTTTTTTCCTAATTAAAATTCCTTTACACTATAGTAATAATAGAAAGTGGGATAACTAGAGACAATTTTAATCTTTCTTTCAGCAGAATATTAGAGATTTTGCTTAATATCAGTTTCAACGTGCAAAACATGATGATGTGTGCAAAAGTTATCTCAATACCAATAAAATCAAAGATAGAAAAAGGGAAATAAAGAATTATTAAGTACAAGATGTGAACCGTTTCGAGTGGTGACTTCCTCCCAGTTTGATGTGATCTGAGGTATTTGTATCTTCTTAGGGATGTAAGCGGCTTGCATATTAAAAAGTCATCATTCCTTCCCTTATCTTTTGTAACACCCTCGGTGTTACACAGTGAATCACTTGTTTAAATATGTCATGAGCATCATACTTAAGTGATATTGCACTTGGTGCGATGGATAGGTAAAGCATTGTAACTTAAACGAGTCGTAAAAACGTAAAACGAAAAGTTAATTCACAATTTATAAAGTTAGCAAGTAGAGAAGTTAACTAATTTTTATTGAACAAAAACGCTATAAAACATATATGTGGCACATTAATAAAGTTTGAAGTACACATTTTGTAGAAGATAGTGCAACTTTTGTTTTAACAAGATAATAACGCTAGCTAACATTTCTAATAGCTTGAAAATCGAATTTGAAGCAAACCCAATTCAAGACAGTCAATTTCTTCAGTCTGAAAACAGATTGACAAAGCTATGTTTGCTAATTTATTCTGTAAAAATTGAGTTTAGAAATGGTGTCGTTCTTTAGCTCTTATTGATAGCCTAAGGTGTCCTCTTTAGAGTAGTGAAGGTGGTTTGGGGATTGGATCAACTGTGTAGTTATTTCGAACGCTTTAAAATCCGTGCACAACATGTTCTCGGGCTGTTTTTCCTGGCTGGACGTGATCACCATGCTGAGTGGCCTCGATGTCGTGGTGCTCGGTGCACGCAAGCACGCGCGTGGACGCGCGCTGGCTGGCCGGAGCTGACCGCGCCGAGGCCACATCATTGGCCGCCTCGGGCTACCGCCGCGCGGAGCCGTGGCTGCCCGACTCGCCACGTCGCGCTGCCCCCGCCTGCTACTGTTGCCGTGCGTTGCTGCTGCCCTCCGTGCCGCGCCACGACAACGCCGTTGCCGCTGCTGTCGCATCGCTGCGCTGTGCTGTGCCACTTGCCCCCCTGGACGCTGCACGCACGAGGCCGAACCACCGTCGCCATGCCATTTATGGCACTACGGCGCGCGGGCCACACCGATCTCGAGCGCATGTCATCGGCTAGTGCCGGCCGTGGTCGCTCCGGTCGCATCAACCGCGTCCCGCCAAGCAAGCACAGGCCGAGCCTTGACTGCATCCCCACCGTCTCACGTCCCTCCCCTGTCCTCTTCTTTGTTGCCGCTGCCGAGCCGCGCCAGCCCGCCTGCATGCGAGAAGCCATCCCCCATCAATTCCACATGCCTGCGCCTGCGCTCTCACATGCTCTCGCTGCCCGCCCCCACCCAGATTTGAACCGTGCAAGGCCAAGCTCCAATTTGGAGCTTCGCACTGCCACCGCGCCGTTAAGACCCGTCACCACCCTCACCGTGGCCAGCCCCCTCCTCAACATCTTGAGCCGAATTAGGTGCACCACTAGCCCTGCCTAGAACCCCTCCTCGTCGTGCGCACCTAAGCCGCACCTCTACCGTTGCCTCCTCACCGCTGGCACGGCCGTGTCGCTGCGGCTCGCCGTCGAGCTCGCCGCGTGCACACGGTTAGGCTCGCTCAGGGCATCTCCGGCTGAACCATCACCTCCGCTAGGTCAGTGGTGAGTCCCTGTTGCTCACCCGCTATCCCTACTGCCTTTTTAATACTGTGGCTCACCGGAACGCGTTGCCATTACCACAGGGTGCCCGCCGTCGTGGAGAGCCCTTCTACTGCGTCTCCGTTCGTGCAGCCGCCACCCATCGCTTTGCGTCAAACCCTAGGTGACCGTCGGCCTCGTAGATAGGTCAGTATGGGTCTCGTGTGGCCGGTGCAAGCGCCAGTGCCACCGGTCACCACGCCGGCACGCGCGGGGATGGAGATTGCGAGGGTGTTCTTGCAAAGTTGCTGTCTATAGGAATAGTGCGAACAACGCCGTGCGAATACTAGGTAGCGCAGGGGCGTCTCTGCAAAAGCGCCAGCACGCGGGCTGTCTCCCGCCGCGGGCCGGCTTGTGTGCGTGGTTTGTTAGGTTCCAAAAATTGTGCTCTATCTGTTAGTGTATTTATTTCATATATGTGCTTGTTGATACCAGGAGCTATTAAATCATTTGAGAGTGCTCAATATTATTAAGTTAATTATTGTAAGAATTTTTGTGGTAGATTGGTGATAGCTTTAACTCTGAAATTGCTGTAGTAGCTTCATGGCATTATTAGGTGCTTGCTGTAATTTTTGTAGCCCTAAAATAGACTATTTAATATGGTAGCTAAATACCCATTAAGGCTAAATGAATAATGGCATGATATTGGTTTATAAAAATTAAGCACTTGTAGGGCGAGCTTGGAATCTATTTGGTAGAGATAATGATTAGCTTAGTATCTTAGCCATTAGAGCTAGCTTAGTAGCTTAGCATATGTATTCTTATTTTAAGAGTTGTTGCCAAAATACTAAGTGTTGCATTATCATTGCATGCATGTAGAAAATGAGTTGGTGGAGTTCGTACCTATCGGAGAGCAGGAGTACGAGGAGGTGATCGAGGAGTTCGAGGAGGAAGTCCTCGTACAGGAGGAAGCCCCACAGCCACTGACTGACTCAGCTGACACCG